AAGTATTTTTAAAATATAAAATTCTAAGTGTTTTAAATATATTTTAACAGACTACCACACTTCGAGAGTAGTTTTTTTCTGGTATATAAATTATTACTTCTACATAAGCTTCACTATATGTATTGAACTTGAATTTTGGGTTCATTATGAAATTTGTTTTTCAAGACTTTAGTTGAAAACGAGTGAGGTGGGAAATATTTGGGGAATCGCTCAGTCTTTAACCATGCGGAAATTTTCTATTTTTTTTACTTCTTTGTTGAGCTCTAAACTGGAATGTGATTCTGTGATATGGAACCATAGTTATCAAGACCATTCGAAGTCTGTTCAAAATAAGTTTTTCTTTTTGCCGTACATTGGGATTCCAATGCCATTTACCAATCGTTTAAAATGTTTAACTCTGAAAATAATAGTTTTTGTACAACTTACGAATGTGGTAGTCTGTAGTACATCTATGTTGTCTGATATTGATTTTAATGTTCCCGCTCGCTCTACCAGGCAGTTTAGACCTTTACTTTTAAAAATAGTAAACTAACTTTACTCTCTATTCAAAGGAAAATAAAAGCAGGAGTTCCACGATGTAGTGTGTTGGGCCCTCTTCTATATCTTCTATTTATGCATGACCTACTAATAGACTGTAATAATACAATAGCGACATCAGATAGTATTGTAGATATCGCGTTGTTGCTGTTGGTATTAGTGAACACAAGCCCCCTACTAAACTCCAAAAGGTTGTAAATGGCCTTTACAATGGCCAAAGAAATGACAGATTCAGGAAACTATTGTTTTCACATACAGCAAAAAACAGCACTAACTAAGTTTCATAAACGGTGCACGAATACCGTACTTTAACTCCGCTTTAGGAATGACGCTTGACTCTAAGCTACGGAGAGTTCATATAAAAAACGAACGGTAAGATTTAGACATGTTACTTAAAAATATTATTTGGTTATTTGGTAACTAGTTACTTATCTACAAAAAAATACTCTGAGCAATATGAAGCTATGGTTCAGTGGGTTTGCACTAACGCAAATAGCAAGTTAGTCGCCCAACAGTTCCAAAACAACGCAGTATGAATGATTGGAAAAGCGCCTTTTTATTGTAGATGTGCTGATTTAGAGCGTGATCTAAGCGTAAACTCGACGAACGCAGAAATATCAAAAATTGCAGTAGCAAATAAAGCAAGATTCTAGAGCTGGATAACCAAGTCGACTCAAACGCCTCAAGCGAACTTTCAAATTAGCTCAGATTGGTTTTGTAATAATTATGTATACGTTTAAATCATATTCAATTTGCTGTTTGTCCTTTTTTTGTCTCAACTACTACTCAAAGAAAGAAAATATTTACACAAAATTTGTTTCCTTTTAGTCGTGCTTGGATAATTTATCTTCGATTAATCGCTTAAGCAAATTTGAAAAGTATAGTATAGTGATGAGAAAACCCCGTTTAAGGAAATACTGTAATTTTTGAAGATATGAAATAAAAATTTCATACTACAGGGGCTTCTTACCAATCATAGAACACAGTAATCTTTAAATAAATGGTCTAAAAAATTTAATTTTGCGATTGTGATTGATTCAAAGCCTCTTTGCTTCAATACATCCAAAAAATAATTAAGAATAATTTTTAAATTGTGAGATTTCTACTTATTTTGAACGACTTTTGTTAAACTAAATATTAAATTTATTTTATCTTTTAAATAAATCAAAAATCCTGCTTAAAACTGCATTCAAAACTCAGACGAAAGCGCTCTTCTTGCTTTAAAGCCTTCTCCTTCATCCATTCACGTGCACAACTTTCCACGAAATTACAGTGAATATTTAATTACAGAATTTGTTTGAGCAACGCAATAAATTCTTGAACTAATTAAAAGTGCAGTTTGCAGGCAATAAAAAGAAAAATATTAAAAATATGTCGCTAGCTGCATGAATATGTTAGACAACGTTGAAGTGGAGGAGGAAAAATGAAAACTAAAAGCGAATAACATAAAGGGAAATTAGCTTAAAAGCATTGTGCTAACGAAATGACCAGAGCAATGAAGAACAAAAGCAAACACGCGGCGTCACAGCGGACAACGCAGGCAGCAGCAACAACAACTACATCAACAGTGCGCACATCATTGGAAAATCTTGCCATTTCCGACTTTATTTCCATTGCAATTACATTTGCATTTTGCATTCGCAAATTTTATGCCGCGCGACGGACTTTTGCATTTGCATTTGCACTGCGCGGCCAAGTTGCAACGCTAATTAAGTGTAAACTCTGACAAAAGTTCAGGCAAACGAAGCAGGAGTTGCGCGACTGGCAGGAAGAGTTGAAATGAATGACGCAGCTAAACGAGAGCGGAAATCGCTAAGATGAACTTCATGCAATGGCGCACAGACCGCAAGATGGCTAATAACGCAAGGCTTAAACTAAGGAAAAATTAAGGAAACGCGTTGTGTCGCTGAGCGGCTGAGACAAGCGCGGTGAGCTGCGGCAAGAAAAGTTCAGGCGCTTATGGCAACATGCGGTTTTCTTCCGTTTTGGGGCGCTAATGCACACAATTGCATACAGGTGTATCCGCGCAACAAATGCTTTGCAACCGCAGACATTCTGGGCGCTCCGCTAACCTTGTGGCGCAAGACAAAGCCGTCTGTCACAAAGATGTGGCGCTGGAGCGCGCGCTGACTTTAAAAGGCTTGCCGCAAAGTTTATTTGCATGCGCGTTGTTTGCATGTGCGTTTGTATGTGTGGCAGGAAATACGCAGACGGCGGCCGTTGCAGCGCGCGTTTGAGACACCCCATAGTTGGTTGCGGTAGGATTTGCATTTAAATGCGTGGTTTGCCATAAATAATGTGGCATCGCGGTGCGCCGAGTGCAAGAGGTGAAATATTTCACCGGCAAATGGGCGTTGCACATATTTGGGTGAAATTCAGCTGCCACAACGCTGTGTCGCCTTGTGCGCCGATTTCTTAGTATACTACTTTCTTATTCTTCATTAGCATTTCAGTTTCTGCTATGCTAATAAGCCATGCAAATCGGTCTTTCATAATTGAAGTTCTCCTTAAGAGGTTCTTGCAACGTATTTCCATTTTATAATTATATATATATAAAATATACAGTTAGCTGTATATATATATATATAACCTGTCTCTTATACACATCTAGATGTGTATAAGAGACAGGCATTTCAGTTTCTGCTATGCTAATAAGCCATGCAAATCGGTCTTTCATAATTGAAGTTCTCCTTAAGAGGTTCTTGCAACGTATTTCCATTTTATAATTATATATATATAAAATATACAGTTAGCTGTATATATATATATATATAACACAAGCTGCTGTGCGTTCATTTGCACCTTAATGAATTTTTAATTTTGTCATTTACCGCAAATTTTATTCCACTGCCACAGTGCAACCATCTTTCTTCTGCTACTGAAACTTGATGCCAGAATGTTGCAAGTTCAAATAGACATTATTTAAGCGTAGATAGAAATTCACTAAAGCGATTAAATGTCTGCCACTGCAACTTTGAGCGAACCAGGAGGATAATCGATAAATTGTTCATATAAAACGTATTTGTTTATGATGGGACATAAAAGCTGGGGGGATATATTGCGAATAAATTACTCCGTACGAGATTATATTTTTAGATTAAACCGTGTACAACATTTTTTAAAATTAGCAGACATGAATACCATTGAAAAAGTTAAGTTCCACATACGTTTAGTTTAATTTAATTTAATTTTATTTAATAAGAATTATTTTTCGGAAAATTTGTCAAAATTTCCGTTACACCTGTATGCGATTTCGACAATTTTGAAATTTTGTACTTAAGTTCCACACACACTTCTCTTGAATAAAAATTATTATTCGCAAAATTTGTCAAAACCGATACACCTGGAGGTGATTTTGACAATATTGAAATTTTATACTTAAGTTCCACATACGTTCCACAAAATTTTTGGAAATATTTCACGCTTTTGCTGTGCAAGCAAACGTTATGAAGGGGCATTAAAGTTTGAAAGGTATTTTGGAATCCAAATGCATATAATTAAGTGAAACTTGTGAAATATATAAAAAATGCGAATAATTTGAAATTTATATTTAAGTTCCACATATGTCCTACATCATTTTCTTGGAAATTTTTTTCTGTAATTAAACAGTGTTTTTTTTTTGGCTTATATAGACCGAGCAAACGTCATGCGAAAACGCATATAGTTACTATGTGAGCATTAAACTACAAATGCATTTTTATGTTTAATTTACTATTTAATTTTTTACTAAATAATCACACTAATTATATTCTACATAGGTTCCACATTAACTTGTTTCAGTAAAGAAACACAGAGCCTTC